TTCTTCGTTTAGGTTAGCTTCCCAATCTTCCTCTTCTTCCCCTTCATCTCCAACATGATGATCATCATCATCATCTCTATAGCGCTCCCTTTTACTTCTTGTACTTGGTCCAACTTCTTCATTACCTCCCATTGCTTCTCGTACATATTACCAAAGGAGGCCATCTCTTGCATCCACAAACTCTTGGAGCTCAACGTCGGTTGGAACCACCCAATCATCATTTTCTTCAACATCTCTCAAGAAAATAGGATTTGAAGACTTGCTATCCTTAAGAGATTTGTAGCGCCTCTCCAAAATCGCTAAAAATAGGAAAATATCGCCTCAAAATATCGCTAAAAATCGCTAAATATCGGAAAATATCGCCGATAATATCGTTCCCGATATTTTGACCGATATTTGAGTTCCGATATTTTTTCTAGGAGCGATATCCGATATATCGCCGATATATCGATGATATATCGCGATATTAATAGCATAGCTTGCAAGTATGTATATTCCTTATGCAACACGTCTTGGGTTGTACCTTCCAGTGGTCTCACCATTATATGTCACTTTGTAAGCCCAAATAAACCGAATTGTCCTTTCATACCATCCTTTCAATAATTGTAATTGAGTGAAAACAATTATTGAAAAGCAATTGAGTGAAAACGATTCCAATGCAGTTATGTATACTTTGGAACCATTTTCACTCTATTGCTTTCCATAGGAGAATCGTTTTCATTCTATTGCCTTCCAATGAAGTTATGTATGCATTGGAATCATTTTCACTCCATCTCTTTCCATAGGAGAATCTTTTTCACTGTATTGCCTTCCAATGCAGTTATGTATTCATTCATATAGCTTCAATCCATTGAGGACCCCTTATTAGCCCAAAAGTGTAACTAGTAAGTACTTGTCTGGAAAGAAGGTGCTAATGAAGATGTGACAAGGATCATTCCTATAGTAATGAATGTGGCTTAAGGTGAGATGTTTTCCATAACAAAAAGGGAGTTTTGGACAAAGGGAGAGAACAAGATGTGTCTGGCAGTTCTTCTACGATGTGGGAGTTGAGATAGAGGAAGAGACAGTAATAATGATGAAGTGGTAAGAAGAAAACGGCGAAGGATGATGAAGATAAGGATGGTGTAGCTAGAAAGACAAGATGTAAGAAAGAGTTGAATCAAGAAAAGAAGGTGGCAATGCATGGAGGGGCATCACAATGAAGAAAATTAAAGGAAAGTAAAAAAATCTAGTTCCATGAGAGAACTGTTGTAATATACTGCAACTCGATTGAAAGTCACAATTCCCCCAAGAAAATTGAAGAGATGCCTCATATGAGTACATGCTTGGAAGCATTAAGTCCCGATTTATCTAGTGTGATAGGTGAACAAAGGCAAGCAAAAGATTTGAAATGTTGATAAGATGGAGTGTGTTGAAACAATATATCATAAGGGACATTAGAAGGGAATCTATTAATGAGGTGAACAGCAAGGATCTAGTGGTCCGAAAAAAGCACTGGACACCCACATAATCAAAGAGATCTTTCCACGTCTAAAATATGCCTAGATATTCACTCAAGTCTCTGTTACACCATCTTGTTGTGGTGTATGTGGATGATAGACTTCAAAGTATAAAGACATATTCAAGAAGGAAAAAGAGGAGGGCAGATTAATAAGATAAAGATAAAGCAAGTTTTGGATAAGTCATAAGTCCTCAAGTTTACAGATAACTATCTTACGTTTATTTTAATTGTTTTATTTGTTTTTCTTTAGAATCCGTTTTATTCTAGGAGTCTTTTACTTATTAGTTTAAATACCTTCATTGTTTACCTTTTGGAATATAGATCAATTTATTATAATTCAATTCTCTACAATTGAATAGGGAGAGACTGCAGCCTCTCGAAAGCTGTAGGATTTTAATACTCTAATATTGGCAACCTTTTATCAACTCTTATCAAATTGGTATCAGACCCTACCGCTGTTGTTCTGGATTAGTAATTGTGTTATTATCCACGAATTACTGTTCACGATCATTGTTCACTTTTCATGGTCACTGTTCACGCCAACAACATCAAGGATGGATGAGGTGGAGGGAAGCTTGGGAACAGTCCAAGCGGAGGCGAACTTGCTAAAGGACAACATGCAGAAAGTGATCAAACAAATGGAAACAATGTTGATATTGCAAGAAGAAGCGCTTAGGAGAACGGAGAAGAGCGGGGGAGAGGATGAAAGCGTAGACAATTGACAACCAAAAAAAGCGGACTATCGCGTAGAGAAAAACTACGACATTGGTCGATTTCTTGCGATAAGGGGGAGGAAACTAGAGTTACCTGTATTCGAGGGGACAGATCCAGACGGTTGGATATTGAGGGTTGAAAGGTATTTCGCTCTTAATTAAACTAACCAATGAAGAAAACTAGAAGTCTCGGTCATTGCTTTTGAGGGTGACGCCTTGTTGTGGTTCCAGTGGTAGAATAAGAGGAGACCCATTAGGCTATGGGAAGAATTAAAAACATTACTGCTTCATCAGTTTAGACCAGCGGGGAGGGATCTTTACGTGAGCAATTCTTGGGCGTTAAGCAAGACGGCACGGTGGCAAAATACAAAAGAAGGTTTGCGATGTTGGCAGCCCCGTTAGAAGGGATTCCGGATGAAGTTTTCGTTAGTCAATTCTTAAACGGGTTGAGTCCACAATCAGGGCAGAAGTCCGCACCCTCGCACAGGTAGGATTGGGAAAGGCCATGGAACTAGCTCAGAGGATAGAAGAAAAAAGCAAGATTTTAGCAAGAATAAATAACCCAAAAGGTAGCGGGTTGAACAAGCGTAATGGAGAAAGATCTGCGGAAAACAAGGGATCTGTTGAACCCTCCAACAAGAGTAGTGGACAGGGAGGAAAATTTGTCCCGGAATTCAGAAGGTTGTCCGATCAAGAACTTCAACAACGTAGGGCTCAAGGTTTATGTTACAGGTGTGATGAGAAGTGGGTCACCAATGCAAAAAGAAGGAGCTTAGTGTGTTGGTGGTTCAAGAGGCGGAAGAGTACAACGTCAATGAAGACACGGAAATAGGGGAGATGACAGAATTGGCGGGAATAGAAACAGGAGGAGAAGTGGAAGTATCATTGAATTCAGTAGTAGGACTGTCAACAACGAAGACTATGAAGCTAGAAGGACAGGTAGAAGGCCAAGAGGTAGTTGTTTTAATTGACAGCGGGGCTTCCCACAATTTTATAGCCACGATGTTAGTTGAGAAACTTGGGTTATCTAATCACAGAAGAATATGACATCTCAATGGGAGCAGAAGAAGCCATGAAGGGACAGGGAGTATGTCAAGGGTTGAAGCTAAGTATGCAAGGAATTGAAGTGTGGAAGAATTTTTGCCCATTAATTTGAGAAACTCAGACGTAATATTAGGCGTTAAAATGGGTGAATTGGCAAAATCAGGTTATGAGATTCAAAAAAGGAGGGGAAACCCTAACCTTAAAAGGAAATCCAACTCTTGGCAGATCCCTAATATCATTAAAATCCATGATGAAAACACTAAGGGTGCGTTTGGTTTGCGGGAATGTTTCTGAGGGATTTGGATTCCCAGGAGGGATTTGGATTCCATGGGATTTGGATTGGATTTAAAATCCATTCCTGTGTTTGGTTTGTAGGATTTGGATTTTTTTTTTTTAACAGCATATGAAGTACAAATCGGAACATTAATCGGAACAACATTAATCAGAACAACATATGAAGTACAAATCGTCACAAAATATGCAGAAATTGAAGTATAATATGCAGAAATCGAAGTACAAATCGGAGCATTAATCGTATTGTTAAGTAGAAATTACCTGGAGGATGCGAATGGAGGATGAAAATGGAGGCTGGAGGAGATGGTCAACGACGGCGACGGAGACGACGGTGGGAGAAAGCCACGGCGATGGAGACGACCTTGAGGGAAAGCGACGGCAACGACCTCGGGGGGATGCGACGGCGACGACCTCGGGGGGAAGCAACGGCGACGGAGACGACCTCGAGGGGAAGCGACGGCAACGACCTCGGGGCAATGCGACGGCGACGGCGACGACCTCGGGGGGATGCGACGGCGACGACCTCGGGGGGAAGCAACGGCGACAGAGACGACCTCGAGGGGAAGCGACGGAGACGACCTTGGGGGGAAGCGACGGCGACGACTTCGGGGGGAAGCGACGGCGACGGAGACGACCGGGGGGGAAGCGACGGCGACAGAGACGACCGGGAGAGAGCGACGGAGGTGAGCGATGCGATGGAGGAGAAGATGGAGACGGGTAGGTTAGGGCAAAAAGGAATGGATTCTAAAATCCCATGTATATGGGAAGGATTCTTAAATCCATTGTTCATGGGATTTCAAAGGAAGCGACGGATTTCAATTTCTCACAATCCAGCAAACCAAACACTGGATTGGAATGGATTTCAAATCCAAATCCTCCCAATTCCATTCCAATCCGCAAACCAAACGCACCCTAAGGAATGAAGGACAAGGGGTGTTAATTGAATTAGAAAATGTGGAAGCTGAGAACAAGGGTAGCAAAACCTTATCGGATAACATGGAGAAACTAATAAAGGAGTATGAGGCTGTTTTTTGTATGCCAGTTGCCACCAAAAAGAGGGAGAGAACATGGGATTGTGCTTAAGCAAGGAGTAGAACTGGTCAACGTCCACCCTTATTGTTACCCGCAATACCAGAAGGATGAGATCGAAAAATTGGTCAAGGAAATGTTGAGTCCAGGAATAATCCAATATAGCCAAAGTCCATTCTCAAGTCCGGTACTTTTGGTTAAAAAGAAGGACGGGAGTTGGAGATCTTGCGTTGACTATAGAGCTTTGAATAAAAAGACAGTACCGGACAAATTTCCAATCCCGATAATTGAGAAGTTGCTCTGAATGTTCTTCATGCAAGCACAACGCAAAATGAAACAACAAGTTGATGGGCGTTGGAAGGACGTAAATTTTGACGTTGAAGATATGGTTTTCTTAAAGCTTAGGCCTTACCGACAAAAATCTTTAAGGAAAAGCAGCAACCAAAAGTTGTCCACGCGTTTTCATGGACCATTTAAAGTGGTAGGCAAGATGGGAAGGGTGGCTTCTCACTTGGAATTGCCAACATCTACACGACTCCATCCAGTGTTTCATGTCTCTCAATTGAGGAGAGCAATCGGACAATGCGCCTCGTCAACCATATAGTGGAATCAATTGAATGACGATATGGAAATGATAGTAGAACCGGAAGATGTCCTACAAGTACAAACAACACGGGATGGAAGACAAGAGGCGTTAATCAAATGGAAGAAATTTACCAGTGTTTGAAGCCTGCTGGGAAGATTGTGAAGTGTTGAAGATGCAATTTCCTTCTTTTCATCTTGAGGACAAGATGCAAGTGGTCCGGGGGGGGTATTGATAGACTTCAGAGTATAAAGAAACATTCAAGAAGGAAAAAGAGGAGGGCAGATTAATAAGATAAAGATAAAGCAAGTATTGGATAAGTCATGAGTCCTCAAGTTTACAGATAACTATCTTATGTTTATTTTAATTGTTTTATTTGTTTTTCTTTAGAATCCGTTTTATTCTAGGAGTCTTTTACTTATTAATTTAAATACCTTCATTGTTTACCTTTTTGGAATATAGATCAATTTATTATAATTCAATTCTCTACAACTGAATAGGGAGAGACTGCAGCCTCTCGAAAGCTGTAGGGTTTTAATACTCTAATTTTGGCAACCTTATATCGACTCTTATCTTATCAGTGGACCACTACTCTTGTGAACAAATATAAAAGTAGATAAACATACCAGGTTAATAAAAAAAAAGTAGATAAACATATGAAGTATCAAGATATGATTCAAATTGCAGCTCCATCATCACTAGTTTAAAGTTAGGTATTTGTCGTTAACAGAATGATCACAGAGGAATTCAGGTTTAGAATGAACCCAAAGCTTCCATCTTAGGGGGCAGCAGATGCTCCAACTTAGGTTCAAACATCATTCCCTAAAATAGAGAAGTGTTTATGCCCCTTCATGGTAGGTGTCCTATAAGGGCCCAAACATTACAATAGATATCAAAACTTAAAGAAAAGTGACGTGGCCAGAAGGAAAATAAATGGTTGACTAAATAAAGTCAAAGTGTTGAACAACCGGATGTACCATCTTTATCCATCCCAAGCTTAGGTTACGTCACACAATACACAGTCAATGTTCATCAGGACATCATTCCATGAGTTACCCTATAGATATCTTATTTTACACTCAGGCATGCCCCCAAGAGGATAGACCCACCCGTGACCCGCATATGGTGCACAAGAAAGACAAAAGCATTTGGACTCGATACAATTTTTTAGAACCCAAAAAATATTAACCAAGGCATAGTTGAGTTGAATGGGATACAACAACCACATGAGGATCATCAAGTTTGTTATAGGAAGAACTACCAAATACTCCTGACAATACTAAAGCCATGTTATTCACCAAAGATTATGCTTAACTGACGGTACTGGGTTACAGAAATACATGCTAAGAGTTAACTGAATCATTATCCTTCACACAAAAGATGCATCATGCCTAGACCCTAAACCTACACTCATTTGTAGCTGATTGTGTTAGTAAATTAGTTAAATATCACTCACCTGCCCTGCAAGAGATGACCAAGCCCAAGTGCTCCAAACACCGTGAGTGAAATCATAGGAAGCCCATATCTGATAAATGGCCCTTTTCTTCCCCACCTTTTGAACCCTGAAGCTGGACTCTGAATTCTAGCAGAATTTGTAGCTCCAAGTTTATTAGCTTTATTAGGTTGATCCATTGTGGTTCCGACCGTTGTCATCCTTAAACACCACAAAATTATATGTACTGTAGAGATAAGAAGTAACAATAACAAATTCATCATTTCTACTATCAGAAATTCAAGAAATCAATTTCCTTCCACAAAACTGATTGCATGTATCGAACTCTTAGCCAAAAGGCCGAGAAATGTATAGCTCAATCCATCGTTTCATCTATCCAATTCCCATCTACAATAAGTCTGACCCAAAATAAATTAGGAATATGACTTTCAACTTTCATACCATTTACATCCCACGTTAGTAATTTCTTAATGGAATCTAATAACCAACTCTATATTTCTCAAACCCTAAATTCTCGCAAAATCGAATGGGAGTCCCCCATATAATCTTTGTAATCAAATTTCATACAAAAATTCATCGTCGTTTCTAACAGAAATGTTCAATTGGTCTTAATAGAACATACTAACAGGCGTAAACAAAACCATACACACTTACAATGACTAGTGCAGAACTTCAAAGGAAGAATATTTTCAAAAGATGAACCTGTGCTAGGTCAAGCCATCAACCGATCCGTGCAGCTGTTAGCTATTTCATCTCTGTCGTTGCTGTTTGCCAAGTACAGTATTTGCGAACCGAATATGGAGCCCCGGAAAAATCTATTTTGGATTCAGAACTACTAGACCCATCTTAAACTACAAGTTTGGTCCCTGGACTATTTACCAAGATGCCGTTTTAGTCCATTAAGAATCATTATTAATCTTTTCCTCCCCAACTTATTGCTTGACAATTTTGGTCTGTTTTGGATCCGACTCTCTTAGCGTTAGGGTTGGTTCCGATGAGATAAGTGGTTTTAAGGCTCGTTTACCAGACGTTTATCCGGTAAGTGCTTACCGGACCACTTACCTTATGGTAATGGCTAAGAATCTTACCCAATAAGAACGATAGCAATAGTCGATAATCTTAACTGCATGGTCATTCCTGTCTTTTTGGGGGACAATTGAGAATCAACAAATCTTGTAGAAGAATGAAGGAATTGGGGCATGAGAGTATTGAGCTAAATTGCTAAAATATTATAATTGCCAAATAGGCTTAAATAAGAGGTAGAAGACCGAAGACGCTAAAACATGTAATAAAAATTAAAATATATGTAATTCTGCCCCAAAAAAGTTTAGGGGGGCAAAAAATTTGGGGGCCCTATTCAGAATATCACATTGGTACACTATCTGACACGACTTTGCTTAACCGATAAGTGAGGATGACGACTCTTATCTGTTAGTATTTGTCGGGTAATTTGTTGCATACAATGTCGTTTGATGGACTAAAAGCTTACCCAGTAAGGTACGTGAAAGTGTTGACTCTTTTCGGTAAAAGCGTTTTGGTAAATGGCCACTTAGGCTAGTTGTTTAGGGTTTTTGATTTTTGATTATTTTGGTTCGGCTGTAGTTCCTTATCCGTTATTAATTCATGTTCCTGGGTTTTTGTTCGGTTTCGCTTATTTTTATTCAATTATAAATTTATGCATGTGAAATAATTGGATGTATGTAAAAGTTCTTGAAGGTAGTTGAAAGTGACTACAAACGTAAAAATTAATGTTGATAAAAGTAGATGAAAACAATTAAACAAATGAACGTTTGCTCCTTTTTTGTAAGTCGTCAATTGAAAGTAGTTCTTCACGTGATATTAGTCGTTAGATCGAAAATATTTTCATCGTTCTCATATAAACTCATATTCTCACACAATCACAAATCTATTAATAAAAGTCTTATTAGGTACTAGAAGGGTACTTGCGCAATGCACCGAGATACATCTTATTTTAATATTTCATTTTATTCTTTATCTCAGTCGATGTTACAGTATGATCTTATGTGATTTTGAAAAAAATATAAATTTGAAGATATCATAAAAAATTGACAAAAATATATTGATATTAGTATCAAATTAATTATTTAAAAATTCTAATTTTTTGTGTAATTTTTTAATTCAATTTTTTATTATAATTTAATTGATGTTCAATAACGAAGTAATTTATATTTGGTTTAATAATATAAATTTATTACAAAGATAATAATTAATTGTTTTGTTAAAACTCGATAATTATCTTAATTATATCTTAGATTTTTTATATTTTAAAATGAGATTTTATCATCTATTTGATTATATTTATCCGCAGTTAGTTACACGAATTCAAACATGGATCTTTAATAAATTGTACATATGCATAATTTAATTGTAATCTTGAATTTTAAGTAATATGCATCAATATACAGTGCTTCATGCATAAAAAATGATTTTTAAGAGTTATTGTCAAATGTTTTATAATATAGTATAAATATAGTTTTTTATTCAGTTATTTTTATAATAATAACCCGAATAAAGAATTATTATTATCTCTCTTTTGTCTTCTTTATCTCCAGTCCCATGCTTATATCAAAATATCTATTGTATACATATTTACGATCATAATAATAAAACTCTTGTTCTAAACCAAACAGCCCGAAACCAATTAAATTGAACATGGATTATTGATCAGTTCAAAAAATGTTAAAAGCCAAATGAAACTTTGAACTCAAAATAAAACGATCAAATAACACCTATAATCTACATGATTCCAAATCATTAATGTTAATAGACATTAAATAAAGTCACATTCGTATTACATGAGTTTTATTTTAATTACATTTATTCTTATCGAACATTTTCTTCAACACCTGTAAAACTATATGTTATGGCATTACTGATTCCTTCAAATTCCTCGTACAATCTTAGCAATTGAGTCATTTAACCATAAATTGACCGTTAAACCTAACACTTAAAAGGTTCTTTATGGATCTAGCCACCCACTTTCCGTTCAGTTTTTCTAGGTAGAAAAGGAATAAGAAAAAGGGTAATGTTGGAAAATCAAACCTTTAAACAAATTAAAAGGAACGAATACATGAGATGATCAATTGAGACTATACACGACACTTTGATAGGACATTGTCCATACACAATACTGTAGTAACAAACTGTGTTTACAATTATTACTGGGAGCAATTGAAGAGGTGGATGGGTCGTTGAGGGTTGGGTGGCCGGGTTAGATAGTCGGCAGGAGGTATTGATGTATTAGGATGGTAGGATAGGTACTAAAGCTGTGTCTATAAGAAGGGTTAGAGAGTCGGTAACTAATCTATATATATATTAAAGAAGAAACCACATGTAATGATGTGGCATCTTCTCAAAACAAGAAAATGCTTTATATTTTTTCTCCTTTTTTCAAGCTTTTCCTACCTCAATATTTGTTTTTGATTTTTAATATTCACATTTAAGATCTTTTAATTAGGTTGTTTCAACCTATTCATGTTCCCTCTAATAATTACTCTTTTAACTCTCATCATTTCTCTCTATTTAGTTACAAATTTCATTTTTTCTTCAAGGTAAACCTCTATAATAATCTCTCAATTCTTCCTCTATACTCATGTATAATTTTGTGGTACACTTCTATGATAATCTCTCTATTAATCTCTCGATTTTTTCTCTCTATTCAGWTATAAATTTGTGGATGTTATTTGCATTTTTGTTTATTTGAGGTGTCATTYAATAAGACAAATCATGATATGAGTTTTTGTTTATGTAAGTATAATATTTTCTTTTTTTAGTCGGAGACATTCACATTATAGTTGAAATTATGTAGGCATATGGATTTCTTTTTGTATAGATAAAGTGGCATATGAATCATTGAAGAGACAATTTAACATTGTTTAAGCATAATATCTTTCTTAACCTCTCAATTCTTCCCATCTATTCAGTTTTTTTGGAGGTCATTTGCATTTTTGTTTATTTGGGTTTATATATTAAAGAAGAAACCATGAGTTGTTGAGATGACTTCTCCTAGAACTTAGAACCTTATTTCTCTTTTTTCTCCTTCATTCTTTTAATATCCACTACTATATTTTTTTTTTGTCAATTTATGTTTTTTTTCTTAAATGTTTGCATTCAACTTCAAACCATTAATCTTCTTCTATATTAATTCAAATTACATAACTCCAAATCATTCATCTTCTTCTATATTAATTCAAATTACATAACTCCAAATCATTCATCTTTTCCAATCAATTATTTATTTATATATATAAAAACAACTTTTTGTTCATCTTCATCTCTCACATCCTCTCAAATTCTATCTCTATCTTATACATCTCTAAATTTATTTTATTCATCTTTGGTTTTTCTTCTATTTCTTCATATTTTTTTGTTATTTCTCTTCTCCTATAATTTTATGAATGTGTGTATCGTTATTTAGATTGCATTATAGTTTTTATGCATTATCTCATGAAGATTTGAAGAAGTCTTCAAGTTCAATATTTGATTCTTTGGTTGCAATACAAGGTAATAATTTTATATTGATTTGTTTCATGATTTTGATTGTATTATAATTTTATTTATGTTTTTATCGTGATTTTGTTTGTATTATAACTCTTATGTATTAGGTGAAGATTTGAAGTGCTCAAGTTTACTATGTAATTTTTACTTATGTTGAACCTTTTTTGATTTGCAGATTTTCGAGTTCTTCAACTTTTATATATTAAGTCTTAAAAATTTGAAGTTTTCAAGTTTGGGTTGTG